TTTTTTTTTTGCGGGCAATGTTACAGATATACACCGTCAGAAAAAAAGGGTTTTCGCCTTACGGGGTTTGTGCTGCTGCTGATGTGTGGGGGAACGAAAGACAGGTTGAGGAAAGGGGCTTTTATACACGAAGTGTTAAGGGGGAGAAGGTCACGTGACGTGCGCGTGCTACGTGTACGTGCTCAGCTTGTTTGTACGTTGGGGTTTGAGTGAACAGGGTACAAACTCCAAAAGCGAATGGTGCGTTTTTTTGTGGTATATATGGGAGAAGTGGCTAATGATCGGATTTTGGCTTGAATTTTGCCACATTTATGGGACAAATTAGCAAGTCATTTTTAGAGGGTGCTTGTAGGTTTATTATAGGTTAAAATAGAATTATAAGAGGTCTTGAAGGTTGAGTTTAAAGTTCGCGAAGTCGGAATTAATTTTTGATGATAAATGTTCGTATGATATTTATAGGTGATTTCGTTGTGTTTTTTTTTTTTGTAATTGTGGCGGACTGAGATGCATGGTTTTGGTTGACATGACATATTAACATCGTTGTCGATTAACTTGATATTTATTACAGACGTTTCACATATCAACAAATGGATTGTTGGTAGTTTTATGGATTGATGGGATGATTGTATTATAGAGTTGTCATAAATGTGGTTATGGAAGAATAACGGCTATGATTGACAATCTTAAATTTCCAGCTAAATGATTAATATAGGTTACTAAGTTAGAATAGAGGTCTTGAAGGTGGAGCTCAAAGTTAATGAATTTGCCTTTGTTTCTCTAATGAAAATTGTTTGTAATATTATAGGTGACTAGCCTCTTCTTCTTAATTCAAGCGGATCGATTTGCACGACTTTAGTTGAAGTGAAGTGGCATACTAACATTATTGTTTATGTTTAACGAGACATTTTATTAATGATGTTTAACGTACAAGAAAATAAATTGTTTGTAGTTGAACAATGATTAGAAAAGTATATCGTAGAGTTCTTCTTGATAGAATTACGAAAGAATGACGGTTATGACTAGGGTTGCAAACGATTCGAGCAGTTCGCGAATGCTAGTGAAAGCTTGGCTCGAAATCAAGTTTGACCAAACTTGAGCTGGGCTTGAGCGGCTCGAGTATGTTACCGAGTCGATGACAGTCTATATTTTGCGTGGTCGAGCAACTCATGATATGTTTTGAATTACTAAAATACCCCTTATAAAAATACCACAATATTGTAATATAGGTGCTTAATTGTAATATTGTTCCCTCCAAGCCCCAACCCAAGCACGACCAATTTTGTTTCCATTTTCATTCTTCCGGCCCCGCAAGATGCAGAAACCAGAGAATCCTAGTTCACTTTCCCAATGTTATACCCGCAGGACCCAAGCGATCGGAGATTAACTTCAACGCATTGGAAAATTAAAAAGAAGTTTAAAAGTTTCGCAACATGCGGTCGAAGATTACCTTCGGCCTGAATTATCTTCTTTGTCTTCATGCTCAATTCATATTCGGCCTCATATTTAGTCTATAAAAGAAACTTGCATCTGAAGAGAAGAACTGCGTGTCACGCAGACGCTTGAAGACATGTAAGTTCCCTTTTATCTGTTTGATAAGGTTTCAATATGTCTTATTATGTTTTGAATCACGATTTCAAACAACACGTCATTTATATGTAGGGATTTATGCTTTTAGTTTAATTATGCTCTCAATATATGAAATGATATTAACTTTAAGTTAACGAGGATTGTGGTTCTGAAGATGAAGATGATACTAATGAAAGAAAGTTATGTTTTATGTTGTCGAGATCTAGTATGAATTGCTTTTTAGTCACTCTTATATGAAAATTTATTTCAATTGGATTTGTTATGTTGGCACTTGGCAATCACTCCAGTCTCTTTGATTTAGAATAACTGTATCTTGCTTAAATCACTTGCAATTAGCTTTTGTGATTGATTTTTTCTGTTGCTTACTTCTCTTTGATAGTCCTTATTTTAGTTTTTTTACTGTTTGGTTATTTTTTCTGTCTTTTTTATATGGAAAGTCGAGAAATCTCAATCCAGAGGTGGGTTTTAATTTGTTGATATAGATAGTGTTCTGGCTTTTAATTTGTTGATAAACTTGAATGTCTATGATATACTCAATTAGTACCATCTTCATCATCATTATTTTTCTAAGATTTTATGTAAGTGTTGACATTTTTTCTGTTATTTTGTGCAGGATTGCAGAAAATTACAACATAAGATGGCATCTCCTCAAATACTATCTTCATGAAGCATTAGTCAAATTCTATGCAACAAAAATCGAACAACCACACGAAGCCACACAAAAAAAAAAAAACAAAATGCAATATCAAAAGAAAAGGAAAAAAAACACACAATTAAAATGACACATACACAAAATAAAAAAAAAATTAAGAGTAACAGAAGTAAATAAAGCCAACACCAAAACTAAATATCCTACTTGCTATCCCCGACAATAGAGTCAAATTTGTTACAACGAATTATCATTTTTTTTACTGAGTACGAAATGAATTCCGAACTTGGGTCGATATCTCGAGAAAGGTGGTTTGAAATCTAGAATTGGTGTCGATTAGACACGAAAAGAAAATAAGGTTCTAAACATTTTAATCATGTAGGTTTGGAAAAGATTATCTAAAAAACTATTAGAAACTGGGAAATCAATTATATAATGATTAGAGAAAGAGGAAAATGTCTAGCTAGGGTGTTGTAAATAATTTCATCAAGTCTTAAATCTACGTTGAACGCATAATTGTTCGGTTTAAAGACTAAGGCTCCCACCTAAAAGCCTAGTAGTTCAATCCCATTAACTTTTTTAACAAGAGACTAAACATAAACGAACAAGTAAAAGCCTAAAGACTTGTCCTTGATACTTTTATGAACACCGGTTTGTAGTGCTCGTGTCCTAGCCGATCGATGAGCCATCAGAAACACTGGTGGCGGCGTGAATCTAAAAATAAAAAAAAAATAAAAAGAGAAAATTTAGGTCTTGGACGAAGTATATATGAGGAAGAGACTTTTGCAATCTGCGGTTTTGCAAGGAGGAAGTAAAAGAAAAATATGCATGCAGAAATAAGTTATACGCGAATAGTGGATTTACTCACCGATGATTAGAGATAAAAGTGACAAATTGCGGTGGTTGAACGATATAGGAAGCTCGTTGTTGCTTGAAAAAGAGTATATATTTGAAAAATTTGAGCGTGGGTGAAAAAAATCAGAAAATTCTACAAAGGGGAGCATTTATATGTGACAAAAGAAGATTCTCAAAGGTCTATCAACCCTGGCCATTGAATCTTGGTCGAAATGGATGGATGAGATTAAGGGAAGGGAGCTAAAAGGATAGATCGACCCTAATCGTCGGATGGTGGTCAAAATCGACGATCAAGATCAGAAGAGCAAGTTAAAAGGACAATATAATTGCGGCCATTAGATTAAAGGGGAAATGAGTGGTTGTCATCAATGCAACATTTAATGGGTACACTCACAAGGACGACACGGAGTGCAGGACGGTTACTTTGATATGGCATTTGGACTGATGGATCTGATAAGTAGAGTTGTCAAAACGAGCTGGCGAAACGGGTTGACCCGTAGCCCGCCAATTGACGGGCCTACGAAATGCAGGCCCAACCTGCCCCCGCCTCGGGCAGCGGGTTTGGCGTGCAACCCGCTATTTTTTTTCTTTAATTACAAAAAAACACATTAACTTTCAGTAAAATTAAACAAACCCCAAGTTCTCAAAAGCATACATCAAAAACAACGAACAATAGCCTCTTGTAGCACTTCTATGTTTCAATAAAGAACATACAACATAAATTTCTCAAATAAAGTGTGCAGGTAAAATACATAACGCAATAATAAATTTAATTCCCGTTTGCTAGACCACAAATTCAACCCTCAGAGTTAGCCACATAATTTGAACAAAACCCACGATCTCACACTTGATAAAGTATAATATCAACACACCCTGTTCACAGCAAGAGAAGTCGCACAATATCACCAAAAACATAAAGATTTTACGAATTGGTGAAGAACGGCGAGGGCAGAAGACGGAGGGCGAGGTGGAGGACGCATGACGAGGGCCAGCCTGTGGGCTAGCCCGCCACGCCTTGTCCCGCGACATGCGTAGGCTAGAAAATACTAGCCCAACTTGCCCCTTTGGCGGTGCGGGGCTGGCTTGCCTACGCGCTTGAGCCCGTTTTGACAGCTCTATTGACAAGAGGCGGAAATTTAAATTTCAAAATTTGAATTCAATATCAGGTAAAGGTCGATAATATTACTTTTGAAGGTAAGGAAAACTGGGCAACGTGGTCGATTTGATCAAGGTACCAGCTCAACAAACATGACTAAAAACAGTCGAATTTACTCTAGGATCGAACTATTCTAACTTTACATGAGTCGGGGGGAGGGGGACCAAGTTATATGAGATACCAGACGGATCGACTAGACTCGAAAAACTACCCAATTGGGTCGGGAAAGCCGGTTGGTCGAACAGAGCTAAGCAGAGAGTCCTCAGGTCGATGAGGATGCTGCAGGAAGTGGTGTGGACAACAAGTCGAGTGAGTGCCCTTGGATGACATGATAGAAACTCAACTTGTAGTTATGTCAGCTGAAGGCTCGACCTAGGGGACAACACACGAGTCCAGTGGAGAAGATGATCTACCTTATGCTGACGAGGGTTTGGTCTCACGATTAGACTATCTAATACAGAAGACTAAAGGATGAGAAGGAATATTATTAAGATAAAGACCACACGTGGATAGAGCCATGTGGCCTAATAGAATTGTGCAGCCCAAACAATACGAATGGGCAGTTCAGGCAGTCTTGGCAACTCATCCGAGCAGTCTTGGACAACAA